TGGGGTTGCCAGGGCTGGCATTAGACTTGCTGGGGCCTGGGGCCAAAGCCCGAGGACTTCAGCCCTGGGTGGCAGGGCTCAGGTTACAGGTTCCTTGCCTCGGGCTTGGGCTTTAAATCCCCTACCCAGGGTGGCGAGGCTCAGGTGAGCTCAGGCTTCAGTCCCCCTTCATGGGGTCGTGAGGTGATTTTTGTTGTCAGAAGGGGGCCGCAGTGCAATGAAATTAGAGAACCGCTGATTATTCTCTTGAGTACTGTGCGCCTGGCACTGAGGTGGGCTGAGTCTGCTAGACCACATGCTTCACAGACTTTCACATTCTGCCTGTAAAGCCAGGCTCTGTTTTTTGGGCAGCTCTGACATGACTCACAGAAGGCCGGGCAGCGAAGCCATCAGTCATCAGGACAAAGTGTGGGAAGGGAATATTGGGGTGGGAGCCACTGAGAAGCTGGCTGCTACCTCCAGCATCTCTGTTTTAAAAGTCCTGTCAGCACTTCAAGGCTCTGGCAGTCAGTTGCTGACAGGAACCGAAAGAAGGCAAACAGGCTACGCATTATTAACCAGGGGTGACTGTGCAGTGAGCAAACAGGCACAGAGAGAAATGCTGACAACACGCGGAACACCCAGCACGCCATGGTGCTCAGCAGATGCTTGTCATGCTGAGGGATCCGCTCACTTCAGGGCGGGTTCTCCTGTCCGGTGCTTGGCGCACGCCATAGCAGCGATCAGACCTTGACTGGACGGGACACTAGGGGAGAGACTCCGAAGGAGAATGGGCTAGTTCAGTAAATCTCTGCACGCCACAGTGGCTATTTATGTTGATCTTTCATAGGAATACAGACGAGTGTGTGTTTGTGTGGTGGGTGTGCAGCTCCATGGCCGTTCTCACCATCCTTAATAAAGATATTGTGCAATGATTTGACTGTGCCTAATGCGAGGGTGGGGGCAAAGGAGAGTGAGGGACACCTCCCAATACTCCCGGGCTTTGTGGGACCATCCTGCTTTGACCCTCAAGCCCTGCGCCATTCAGTGGTACCCAGGTTCTGCACGGTGCGTACCATAGGCAGGGGCAGAGTTAGGGAGGGCAATGGCTCCAGCTGCCCCTGGGTGTGCTCCGTGGCTTCAGGGGAGCTCAGAGATGGGGACGGATGCTACCCTGGGGTGGGCTGGGCTGGAAAGCGAGGGGTGAGCCTGGCATGGACTCGGCGGGGCCCGAGCCTGGCATGGACTCAGCGGGGCCCGCAGCTGCAGTGAGGATGGCTCAACAGGGATTTGCGGTGCCCAATGGCTTTCCACTTTAGCCACTTGAAATGCTGGGGGATATGGCAAAGGGCTGCATCTGCTTCCTTCCCAGAATGATCACAGGCTAGGTTACAGAATACCAGCTCTCCCGGGGGGAAAGCCAGGTGGCAGCAAAAGGGATTTCACCGAGCAAAGCCAGCAAAATGAAGAACAGACGGCCAAGGCAGGGTGAAGCTGGGGTCAGAAGGATACAGAGGTGGATTAAAGGCATGAGAGTGCTAAGAACTGGGGCATGGAAAAGCCAGGTGACTTGCCGCTATTCCAGCCAGCAACAGACCCAGGTCTCCATAGTCTCAGTCCTCTGCTCTGACTATTAGACAATCTTCTCTTCCAATGCTAAGGCTCACTAGGGGTCCAGACCCACCAAAACTTTCTCCGTTCCCCTCTCCTGGGAAGACTCTTCCTCCCAGCCCAGCATCCCCTGGATGGACTTGTTCCCCCACCCCGAGTGCTTGACCATCCTCTCACATAGAGCTGCCGGCCCACCAGAGCCAGCCTGATACGTTTGTGGAGAAAGTGAGAAAATCACCTAGGGCCCTAGGTGCAGGCATCGGTTTTTTAGACCCCTCTTCCCATTCCCCTCCCCAGGAGGCTGCTGCTGCTCCTCTTACCCCTGCCACGTGCTTTCCTATTTATTTTATTGCCTCCACTCCTGCGTTAGCCACTTAGGCTACTGTGGGGGCACCAATATGTAGGCACAGCCCTCCCCCCTCCCTAGGGCCAGGCCCGCAGGCTGTTCCAGCCAGCAGTGCACTGTACGTACTGATTTCTCACCCCCTCTAACCCTAGGGACTGGATCCTAGTTATTATTTGTATTATGGTAGCACTTAGAGGCCCCAAGCAAACAGGTTTATTGTGCCAGGTGCTAGATAACACATAGGAAAAGACAGACCTTGCCCTAAACTTCTTACAATCTAAAGAGACAAGCCAGACAAAAGGTGAACCAGGGTCCAAGGTCATACAGAAGAGCCAAGGTCTCTGAAAGCCTAGTCCAATGCCTTTCCAGCGAATAGCCCATTTATGGAGCTGGATCATTTATACCGGGAAGCAGGGAATGGGAATTGATTCCTTCTATATCCTCAAATGTAGTAAGCTGCAAAAGTAAGTTTATGCAGGTCCTGCCTTATATCATAATCCTGCCTTAAACCACCTTTTTTCCCTTGCCCCACTCCGGTTTTGGAAATGGTATTCCTGGCTATTGCCTCGTCATTCAGGAGGATGGTAGGTTTGCATATTCTTTTCTCTGCATGCTCGAGAGAACAAGCCGCACCCTACTGGTAAATCTGTTTGGCTTGAATCAATAAAGGAGCTGACATAGGTGTGGCAAATTCACTGGAAGGCAGCCAGTCGGAGTGGATGTGAAATGGGTTTAGGAGTCAAATTTTGGGTGTGAACCTCAGAGCAGCCTCTGCTTTGAGGACGTCTGGATTCTACAGTAATCTGGGGCCTTGCTGGAGTCCTGTTTGAGGGTAGAGGTGAGAAAGGAGAGACCTGGATTCTGCCTGGTGTTTCCCTGGAACTTGTCACAAGTGCAAAGTGCCAGTGAAAAACCTGCAGAGCCAATGTCAAACATGCGGAGAATTCTCCCTACAGTGTTCACTCAGATCAGCCCTGGAGCAGATTATCACCCCTCCTGCTTGTGCTTTGAAAAATGATACAGGGCCTTTCATGTTGTGACTAGAACTGCCAAGAAAAAGAATCCTTGTGCTGGTACCGAATTACTAACGATATTATTCAACATTGCTAACAGCTTCCATGGCAAATGTTCACTGCTCAGAAGGGTACTGGGAGAACCTTAAAATATCAGGGCTCTGAGTTTGCAAAGGGTGGGTTAATTTCTGCCTTCCATTGTACCCGTCCAACCCTCAGGAGCAGAAACTGGCTCATGATCTGTGTTTATACTCCATCGCTCTTCCCCCCGCCCCTCCATCATTACTGTAACTGAGGGCGAGTTGAGACAAAGGAACATTATGTCATTACCTCTGCTAGAGATTGTGAACATGTTTACAGCCTGACAACTGGCAGACGCCATTAACATTTTTTAGTAACTGCTGTGTGTTGGTTCTTAGATTTTTTTATTACAAAGATCTCTCTCCCTCTCTTCTTTAATATCCTGCCCTTTTTATGAATCTTGATCGGTGACAATCTGACTTCCTCTTCTTTGGTGTCAAAAGCGCCACGTACACAGCCAAGCAACATCATCAGTTTCACTGGACTCACTGGCCTAAAATGAGGGTAGGAGAACGGAGAGCCAGCCTGATACGTTGCAAGGCTGATGCTTAAGACAAAACAGAACAAAAATAAGACTGTTCCATGAGGGTCTGCCTGTGTGTCGAAAGCAGCCCTGTTCACCCAGGCTGGGATTTTCAGGGGAACCTATGGAGTTAGGCACCAAAATCCTATTTAGCGTTAGGTTTCTAGATCTCTTAGACTCTCTTGAAAATCCCAGCCCCAATAATAAGAGGATAGAGGGGAATCTTTAGTTCCTTCAGAGATAATGGGAAATAACCATGAATGCAAAAAAAAAAAAAAAAAGCCCCAGAACAACAACTACCAAACAACATGTCAGTGAACAGTTAATAGAACCATAGGAATTTCCATAGAGGATCAGACCAATGGTCCAGCTAGTCAGGGTGCCTCGTTTCTGATGGTGCCCAGAACCAGATGCTTCAAAGGAAGGTGCAGGAATCTCAGTAATGGACAATGATGGAATAACCTGCCCAGAGAGGAAGAGCCTTCCTAACAGCAGCTAGTAGTTGGCTTGAACTTTGAAGCATGAAGGTGTATAGTGACATGGAGAGCTGTTTCTCCAGATCTCTCTGGGTACAAAGGTCCAGTCCCTTCAGCAAAGCAAAAAAATGCACATAATTTCTGTACAGCCGAGGGTTTTTTACTTATATTTTTTTCCCTCCTTAGGTTATCAGTCGACCATGCTCCTAGCTCCTCTCTAATCCTGGATTAACATCCTCCATTCCCTCTAATCAGGTTGTGTAGTATCTGGAAAAAGGTCAATGACACCTTCGAATAAGTTTAGCTGATGGTTTTTCAGTATTTTTTTTTTCTCTTTTTCTCCTGACCCATAAACTCCATTGCAGGGCTCTGCTCCGAGGTCAGCGCTGAGAACACACAAGCGCAGGATTAAACTTGTACAGCCAAAGAATAATGTCTCCCGTTCGTAAAATATCACTGTATTCAGCATATCAAGCAGGCTTGCTTCATAAGATACCATCAGCAGACCGAAGGTTCTGGCTTCAGTTGTGTATATGATACATTTAAGTGAGAACAGTAGTGGTGGAAAAAGGATGCTGTGTTTGGCTCAAGATTACATTTAAATTAGGGGTCAGGGACATAGTGCTTGTTTCACGGGACATGTTATTACTTTAGTGCCAGAGTTATCTATGTTCCACACAAGTTCAGCATCCCCTTACTTTTATCACTGAAAATTATTTACATATGGAATAAAGAATCATGAAACTGAGGTTTTAAAAGAGTCATTTGCACTAGGGGAATGGGACAGCATTTCAGCTTCCTGCATAATTTTTGTTTACGTCCCTCAGTTTGCATGCAGCCTACAGGAGGAGTTGAAGGGCTCCATATATCTCCTGAGCTATCCTGTCCAATCCTTCCCCACCCTTCAAATTCATTTCACTGCAAACTGATGATGTCATTTTGAACACTGATTATTGTCCTGTTCTCCTTAGATGACATTGATCGGGAACTGGAGGAGAAGTGCAAGATCATGGAAGCCCAGCTGCATGAGAAGGAGAAGGATAATCTGGAGCTGAGGAAGGAGCTCAGACATAAGGAGACCCTGGTGTCCGCACTGAGATGCAACCTCAGGAACAAGGAGAGGAAATTCCTTGAGGAGCTGAAGAGAAGAAGCCACCGGGTGACTATCCTTAACACGGAGCTGCAGAAGCAGACAGAGGCTGCTGCTTATCTCTCCTTCCAGCTGCATGCCACCAAACAGAAACTGCATGGCTCCCGGCAAGGTGGCAAGCCCTCCTCCGACAGGCCTCCGGACAAACCATTCCCTATGCAGCCTTCCAGTGAGACGAGGCCCAAAAAACGAATCCACAAGTCTCAAGTTCGGAGGCTGGTGACCGACTGCTCCTGTAGCAAGGGAGCCATCAAGGACTCCTTCCAGAGGGAGAGGATGAGCAGCTTCGAAGAGGCAGACCCCATGCCCGACCCAGCACTTTTTTTATACACTAAAAGGCACCATGCTCCCCATCGGCAGAAATTTGACCCCAAAGCCCAGGCCCTTAGCAGAGCGGGGGCTGATCCGAGTGACAGTGCTGCTGGGGGCTCAAGTCTGCAGAGACCCTCCTGTCTTCATTCCCAGGAGCAAGCAGAAGGTACTAGCACCAGGCCTTCAGCCAAACCCAAGCCCTCGAAGGGTGAGAAAGGCAAACAGCATGGATCCAGCCCCAGGAATTCAAAAGGCTTGGAGTAAACAAAGAAAGTGGAACAGTGTGGTTGCTAAATGCAGAAGATGAGTTTGGCTATACCAAAAAAGAGACTGCGGCCTACAAAGATTTCTTCCCCGCCATCCCATCAAGAAGTAAAATACTGTTCAGTTTGGATTCCCTCAAGGAGCTAGAAACAATCTGACTCGTCTAATATCTCCATTTAGGATGACCATGGAATGGCTGTCTTATCCCAAGGGATGGTGGGGCAGGTGAGCGGGAGGGCAAGCAGTGCTGAGGGCATTTGAAATGTTGTCCTGGAGTTGACTCCAAGAGAAGATAGGCACAGATGTGGAACGTGGAGAGAAGGTTTGAGCATGGAGGGAATGGTTATTAACAATTGTCTAGAGCTTCCCTTTCGTAAAAATTAAGCTTTCTGAGACTAAAATCTCTTACCGTTATTGTTATCATTGTTCCTTCTAGGTAAAACTGTTCTTATTTTCATTGGCACTAGGTAGTGGTGGAGGGTGGCGGGGGTGGGGGGAATAGCAGAATTGCACTGATGGTGAACGTGGCAGGATGCACCAAACTCATCTTTGGTTCTAACTTCATGACATCACTGGAGTTGGGACAGGGATGAATTTGGCCCAAAATGTCTAATATAAGGTATTCCAGGTTCTGGAGAATGTCGGCAGTTGAATGACAATCGGTCAATTTAGTCTAAGAAGGATTTTTAAATCATCTGCAGAAACAGTATGGCCAAGCCAGTCAAGTCTGAAATAGACACTCAAGAATGTTGAAATTCATATTTTCACCCAAATTCCTCCTTTTTAATAATTATGCAAAACTGAATGGACAAGATTTTGAAACGTGACCATTGATTTTGGGCACCTCTATTTTTGGGGTGCCCAGCATGAGATATCTCAAAGCGGTTTGATTTTTCAGAAGCTGATCTGAAAACCAGGCCCATTTAAGTTATCTCTAGGTGGGCACTCAAAGTCAATAGTCATTTTTTATAACCTTGGCCAATACTTTTGTTTTGCATGTTATTACAGCAGGTTTTCTAAATGTGTCTTAGTTACTCCACATTCCAGGCAGAGTTCCCTAGTAATCACTGTCTGTTACTACTCTGCTTAGACACCAGGATTTTGTTTTTAAGTTAAGTTACTAAGCATGCAATAGTTCCCCACTGAAGTCCTGCTCAGAAGACTAAGTAACCAAATTAGCAGTGAGCTACTTGAGGATGAGATCTCATACATTGCAAACATTTTGTGGCAGAGCTAACCACTCATTTCTTCTGTGATACTGAAGGGAAGTGATAAGGAAACCACAAATCTGTCTTCTTCGGGGCTTGAGCCCCATCTTTCTAGATAGGTACTTACATGGTCCTCAATACCGTGGTATCTGAGCACCTTCCAGTCACAACACCCCAGGGAGGTATGGAAGTGCTATTCTTATCCCCATTTAACAGATGGAGATCCCAGGCACAGGGTAGATGAAGTGACTTACCTCAGTTCACCCAGGAAGTGTGAAGCTGAGTCAGAAATGGAACCCAGGGCTTCTGAGTCCCAGCCTAGTGCCCTAACGACATCATTATCCCCTCCTCCCCCACTAAGCCCATTAGCGTCAATAGGAGCATTTCCATTGATTCAGTGGGCTTTGGGTCACACCCTTGAAGAGTTCTTATGCACATGATGGTTATGATTGTTGAAGCACACTAAGATGCACCAGTGGGTGTTGCATTGCTAAGCTATTAGTGCCCACTGGGAGGCAAAAAGCTGTGAGTGGGGTCCTACCTGAGAAGTTGTCCAATAACACATGTCCTAGAGCATCTGTTGCTATTGTACTATAATCCTATTTATTTACAAGCTATATTTTCAAAATGAAATTCAGAAGTATCTTTGGTTGGTTGGTTTTGTTAGGCTATGAAAATGTATAGAAGGAAAAAGAAGCAACAAGAGATAACCAGAACCAAAGACAGGGCCAGATTCCCAATTAGGCACAGTAGGCATGTGCCTAGGGGTGCCAGCGTTCTAGGGACACCTTAGCTTTCTAAAACTGTGTGCAACACGAAGGTCAGCTGTAGGGGCGGGGGGAGGGGGGCATTGAAGGTGCTGTGCCTAGGGGTACGTAAGGTGTCAATCCAGCCCTGATCAAAGGGTCTAAAACTGGCCCTTTGTTGAAGAGGTGAGATCATCTGATTTTTCTCTTGGACCTTCCAGAAATTATTGTCATCTTCCATGGTCCCTCTGACCCTACTGCTTCAACAACCCCAGACCCACAGAGGCTCCTATTCTGCCCTGTGGACCTTTTATGGTCACTTCTTGATTCCCAAGACTCTTCAGGAGCTAGAGCCTTCTTGTTCGCTCACTGACTCCTTATGGTATTATCCTTGGACCCCACTGAATCTCTGGTACTTTTCAACAGCTCCCTCAGTCCTCAGGCGTGTCACTTCACCCATTCAACACTACCTAAGTTCAAAATAAAAGGCATGAATAAGCTGAAGGCTTTAGCCTCCAATATAAAGCTCCAAAATCTGTGATGTGCCTTTAGCATCCTGCAACGGCTTAACAATTAGAGGAAGGAAAAATTATTGTGAAGATTAGACAGAGAACCGAGTTCTGATTTTAGGACTTCAGTGGATGCTCGGCACCTTGCAGGATCTTCTGTTACTCTGCAGTAACTGAGAGCAAAATTTTGACCCATGTGGTTTTTGACTACCTGTTCTAACCAATTAGCTTTTTTTTTCTACACTCTCCTTTCTATTGGCTGCTGGAAGTGTGGCTAAGTTAGTGGCTCTGACTGTGACTTACCAGTGCACAAATACATGCCTGGGTTAAATATTACAAACAGCAAACCAGTCACTTGCTGTTTAGATATTTAGGGACACATTTGCAAACACAACCCACTAAAACTGGGCACTTTTTTTTTTTTTTTTTTTTTTTGCAGGCATGGCTGTTTGTGTATGTATGTGTGAATATCTAGTAACCAGGGCTAAAATGCCAGACCTATTAAAATCAATGGAAATTTATCCATTGACTTCATTAGGGCCAAGATTTCATCCCACATATCCAGCTAGCTACTCAATTTGCATGTGAATATAGGTGCCTATAGGAAAATAATGCAGACTCCATTTTTCCAAAGCCAGTTTGGAACCTCTTAGAAAATCTGGTCCTAATTGACCAGCCCTAATTACCAATAATTTGAGGTCGCTCATGTAGTGCTCATGCATATACAAAGGTATCTATTTTTGAAGTGCAATATTTATATATTATATTAAAATACTTTTATCAGATTCTAGGTAACAATTACTAGCCCAACTTTTTGAATTATAAAAATAAAATTCAGAATTGAAGATTTATTCTACTGAGGCAGAAAATTGCATTTTTGTACCTTTTCTTTGAAAGAGAAGATTATCTGTTCCTTTAAATCTTTCCTGGCCCTCTATGGGATATGTGTTCTTGACCTGTATTCTTTAAACACAGTTTTGAATTCAGTATGAAATGCCATGGCTTCATCTGTGAAGACCTCTGTATAGCGCAGGACTGGTTCATCAATTAAGCCCTAAGGGCCAGATTCACTAAGGTATTTAGCGCCCAAAGATGTAACTAGGTCCCAAGTGTGATTTTCAAAAGTGCCTAAGCCTGTTAAGCACCTAAATCCCCTTGATTTCCATGACAGATGCCTGCTTTCGAATATCACATAAGGTCCCTATCTGCACTTTGAAAATCTGTCCCTAAGTGTCTGACCACTTCCAAAGCAAAAAACCGAAGGATGTAGGAAAAAGATACAGAGCTGCACCTCTTAGGGTATGTCTACACTGCAATCAGAGATATGACTGCAGCATGAGTGGGAATAGCAACACTAGCTTCAATCTAGCTGCTCGTTGTAGCCAGGCTAGCTAGACAAAAGGGAGCGGGGCTCTGCCAGCACATGCTGCAGGCACACCTCGGACTGCGTGAGCTGCAAACGGGCAGGAGTAGTACAGTTATCCAGTCATTTCGGGGCCCTTTACTAGATTGCAAGCTGCCTTCTGTTTTTGAGAAACAGCTCATTAGACTCCTTCTGTTGACTCACTACACTGAAGTAATAGACTGTCATTTTAGATTCCAGTCCAGTACTGTTAAAAGCTGTCTTTGTGCAGCATGTGTCCGCTGTAATCATTACACTGGGCATAGCTGCTTCTTCTGCCAGCAAAGCTACTGGGGCCATTTATTTCTCCTGACAGCCGGACTTTCTGGCATGAACAGGGCATCCTGTTTGAATCTTGCCTCCTCTTCAAGATCGCCTTCCCCTATATTTTCTAATCACTGCTCTGCTCCTGCTTGGTCCCTGGAGATGTCAGTGAGCTGTTGAATTAGTGACAACCCGTGGTGCGAGTTTACACCTGGCAAAGGAATAAAATGAGGCTTAACTAGGGGTGTGAGGAAGGAGGAAATAATCCAGGGTGATTATCTCATCCTATTTATTGCACTAGCCAAGCAGCTAGTGAGAGGAGATCTGTAACAGTATGTTGCAATGGGCATGCTAACACTCACCCTGAAATGTAGGAGGGAAGGGTGGGATCCACAGAGGAACTCGGGCATTGTAGCTCCTAATTTTTAAGCACCTACAAAATCCAGGAAAAACACCCTGCTCGACTTTGTCATCTCGGCTCCCTGTACAGTGAATGGGGAGAGAGGCGCCTAAGGATGAGATCCACAAAAGCCAGCCTGCTAGGCGGGGAGCTGCCTAAGCTAGCCAGTGGGAAGCGCTGAGCATGGGTGTGTCCTAAATTCAATGCCCACCTCTGTCGGGTGAGGAGGAGGGGAGAAAGGATCCCATCTCTCAGAGGACTTCTGACATCAGGCTCCCTTCTGTGGAAGCTGTTCCACTGTGGATCCATAATCAAAGAGGGTTGGAGCAGGGGGACAGGACTCGGGGTTGCCTGCTTCCCAGGTGGGTGCTGCAACCACTGGGATATAGAGTCATTCGCCCTCTGTCTGACCCAATGACTGTTCCACAGTAGATAAATACTAAACCAGTCAGTGGGCCAGAGAGAGGGAATGACTCTGCAGCCCAGTAGGGCCCAGTGGTTAGCCTCCAGGCTCAGGCCCTACAGGTGACTTTGGTGGGGAAACAACTATCTTGCCCTGGTTCCAGATTGCTCTGGGGCTTAGGTGGGAGACAGGCACCCGGCTGCCTAGAGGGAGGCAGCAATGCAGAAGCAAAAACCTAGGCACCTAGGGAGTCAGGGACTTTTACCCTGCCCTGAAAAAAATTAGGCATCAAGTAAGTTCAGGTGCCTACCAGATTCAGTGGGAGTTTTGTGGAGCCAACCCCAGGATTTAGGCACCTAAGTGTTTCCATGGATCCCACTCTAAGTGATCCCCGCATTACTGAGAGGAGAGTCCAGCTCAGTTACTCCACTGGAATTATACCAAATGAATTAGTTTGTGTTGAAAGAAAAAAAAAATCACACAAGCTGCTTCAGTTAGGACTTCTGGGATGCAGCTTCAGTGAAGTCCAGTGGAGCTACACCCCTTTACACCAGCTGAGGATCTGGCCCCAACAATGGTGTGTCATCAGTGCACGCTTGCTTGGGAGACTGGGGCTACTATAATGCTCATTTTGCTGGACACAATTCTCTTGTTTGTTAAGCTTCTCATCAACTCGTGGCTAAAACTGCCTCAGAAGCCCAGGCAAAGAGGTCTGTGGAGAAATCAGGAGCATTTATACTAGACATCCAGGTTATTAACAAGAGAAAAATATGCACACTCTAAGGGACACCTACTTTATGGGTCCAGTTTTCCTATAACGCTATGATGAGATGCTCTGTTGTCTGTTTCTCTTAAGGATGATTAAAAAGAGAAGGCCCTCTGCTGGCAAAGCAATGTAATACGATTTCTACCGCATAGTGAACACAGATTGTTCACTATCCTGCTCTGATGACACAATCTGCGGGAGAGCGGTGAAAGCAATAAGCAATTTGCATTGCACTGTGCAAGTTATAGCTGTGGAAACGCAGTATCCCTTCGACTTGATTAAGATTTGAACCTCATCTTTGTAAATGGTTATTTCTCTCAGGTTCACAGAGGTTCTGCTGAGAACATTCTTTCTTTGTGTGTGTGGGGAGGGAGGAGAGGGGGAGGTTAATACTAGAGGAGCTAATAAATTCACTGTGCACTGTTTTAGTTGGGTTTTATTTTAGTTGTGATTTGCATGGCTTCTCTTTTCATTTCTGGACAATCCTAAAGAGCAGACTCAGCTAAATGTTTATTATCAAATCGTTGATGCAGAGACTGTAGCGGACTTCAGTATAAAAAAGAGAGAGGAGTCCAATAGTTCTCTTTTGTAAATAATTTCCCACCAATCATCTATTTCTCAGTGGCTGGTATGTAAATGAAACAACTCCATCCGAGCTGAAGGAGCCTTCCTGCTTTACTGATAATTATGGGCTCATTCAAGGAGTTTATTTAATTTCCAGCTCTCTTCAACTATTCTTCCCCTGTCCTGCTTCCTGCCCACATCTTCCCTTTAGCTCTGCATGCAAGCTACTCGTACTCTGAAGCCAAGTGGCGGTATGCCTCGCCAGCAGGTATCACTGCAACCTTGCAAAATCCTGATCAGAGATTACACGGAGATAGCGGGGGGAGGGTATAAATAGGGTGACCAGATAGCAAGTGTGAAAAATTGGGACGGGGTGGAGGGTAATAAGGGCCTATATAAGAAAAAGCCCCAAATATTGGGACTGGCCCTATAAAATCAGGATATCTGGTCACCCTCGGTATAAATGCCATTAGCCAAAAAACAACAAACATACAAAATGCATGCAATATTGGGCCTGATCCTGACCTTGCTTAGACCATTGTAACCCCATTGATGTCGATGGCATTACTTCTGATTTGCACCAGTGCAACTGAGGAGGAGGAGCAAGGACAGTGTTTTTGATGAGCCATAGACAAGACAGAGGAGCTAAATGGAGCACTTTCTATTCCTATGAGCTAAATCCTGAAGCCCCTACTCAATGTTCATTCACTCATGCCTCTGGCAAAACTCCTGCTGACATCACTAAAGGTTTCACTGAAGAGTTTCTTTCATTAAAAACTGAGGGCTAGATTGTAATGCCCACTCAGGTGGGCAAGATCCCACTTGCCATGATTAAGGATATTGCAATCTAGCCCTGAGTAAGGACATCAGGATTTGCCCTTTATTAATAATGTCGTTTGAAGTTAGTTGTAAGGGCCAGACCCTGCAGCCCCTTATGTGGGAATTCTTGCCTACGAGCTTGCAGGATAAGCCCCTAAACTTTGTTATTGGCCTTTTTATTCATTGCTGTGTTTTTGTGGGGAGGCTATATATAAATATATATTTAGTTTTGAAGAGAAAACACTAAGATCGAAGCAGATACGTTGAAAAGAATCTATGGTTTTTTAATCTTTGTATTTATATAAATGATCAAAAATGAAAGTCAGCGGTCCCACTTCTTAATCTGAAGCGTAATGTCAGATACAGAGAGTCCAAAGGAATAACACACACCCAATGAAACATGTATGTTTTCTAACTACTGTTGATGGATGAGCGTGTTTGTAGACTCTCTAGTGTCTGAGTATACATTAACTATCAGAATGTAAGATATATATTAAAAAAGGAGATTTGTACACTGCATTTATCCAGCACTTTCACAGACTCCCTGTGAGTCAGAAAGGATAAATAGAAATGATATCTATACTGTATATCTCTATATGTAGAGGCACATATCAGGGAGTGTAAGAATTGAAATCTACATGCTTTGTATAATATGTTTAATGTTGACTTGTAAAGCTTCACAATTAGATTGGAAATGGACGCATAGCAATAACACTCTGTTGTTAAATGGATGTCTTGTATATACATGTGCTGGGAACTTTCTATATACAGCCTCACAGTCATGTGACTTTCCTTTCCGTTTTAAACTGTATTTTTTGTTCTGGAACTGTACAATGGCCTAAGGGGTTTTGTTTTGTTTTTGAATTTTTAATTCATAATGCTCTCTGCCAATGAGAAATTTCATCGCCTAGGATTACACCCACTGAACTGTAACCTAGCAGCTCGGATGGGGAGAGAGAGGATATCGTTACATTGCTTGCTTATATTGTTCCCATGTTCCAAAACGTGTCTGGAATCTGGCCATACTGACTGAACCAAAATGCAAATGGTTTCAGTCACTGATTTACTGAAAACGTCTCTTATTTTTTTGCCAAGGCAAGTTGGTAGGGAAATTTTCCCCACTGGCATAAATATTTAAAAAGCCATATTCTCTGAATTGGTCAAGTGATGCTGCTAGACTTTGCATAAGCCCAATGCATTTGGTAGGTCTAACATAAGGGCCACTGGTTTATAACATTCCCCTCCCCCATCCAAGATTAAAAGTGTGATTGTAAGTCTATGTCTATGTTATTCAGAATAGTGACTCTGAAAATGACCTTGTGAGGTTGCCCACTCCCTCGGTGACATATATCAATGGTGAAATCCTGACTCCATTAGGTTTGGCCATTGACTCCAATGGATTCAGGGTTTCACACACACACACACACCCCGCAATCTGCTCACTTTACAAGGTTCACACCACCACATGCACACAGAGTCTAGGACCTGAAAAAATCAAGCCGTGCTCTTTCTGCCTCTCATGACAGCTGCAGCAAAGATTGCAACTTAGCCAACAATTCTGCTGAACATGCGTGAGGCAGAATAGAACCCAGATGACTCGCCCATAGCCGAATTGGCACTACAGGGCAAAGAAGAGCAAAAACTTGTTAACAGTGAGCAGATCTGACTCCAGCACACAGGAGACTGGTATTAAAGTGCCCTTTTACCGAGTCGCTTTTTCTGAGGATGGGCCCAGAGTCACTGCATCAACTGCCCTTCGCCTGGTTAGAAACCCAGTGGTAGGGTGAAAGTAAACACTGCCTGCCTTCCACTAGCCTAAATTCCCATATGACAGTGTAGCTGGCACGGAGGGTAGTCAAGTGTGAGCAACTAGGTATCCTTAAGGTCCCTTCTTCTGTAAACCACTAGCAAACAGCACCCATGAGTATCAGAACTCCCATAGACTTCAGCGGGAGTTTTGCCAGAGACAAGGTCAATGGCTTATTGTAAACTGCCACATTAAAAACAAAGCCAGATGACAGCACAGCAGATGTGCGTGGCCTACAGGTAACTGTGAGGTTTTTGGGGAGCAAAAGATAGTTACTTGGGCAAACTGAAATGTGATTCAGCAGCTATTTTGCTGCTGGGTCCTGGTCGGCAGACTGGAGCCACAAGGACACTGAGTGCTTTGCCCAAGGTAGTTCAGAGATTCAGTCATTTAATCAAATTAGAAACCAGGAGGACTCTCCTGACTCGGAGTCCTGTTATTGACAATCCTAGCTCGTGCTTCGTGCTTGATCCAGTGCAGGCTGCTCCAGCACATCTCATTGTAAGAACGATGCCGTCTCTTTAGTGCATGTCTGTTCTTGTCACTGTCTCTGCTTGCACTGCCATGAAGCCTGACTGCCAAGTCCCACGGGGAGGAGGAGAGGGAGGGATGGCCTTAGATTCACAGGTTGCTTCACTCACTCTGGATAACATCTGGATAATATCGGCATGTTGTGATTTCGCCTTCATGGGTGGGACCCCGACTGGGTAACTGAGAGAAGTCCCAGACATGCTTTTTGCTACTTACTTGCATCAAAAAGTACCTGTATTTCTAAAGGTCCATTAAAAATCCCGTAGGCCTCATGTACTGTGTGAAAGCATGAAGATAAAAGTGCCGCTTTGCCACACTAGTGAGAACCTGCCCTCTTCAACCTTTGCTCCCAATTGCCAAGTTTGTTCTTTTGTTCCCTCTCTGCATGAGCTGCCCTTTTGGCTGACACTGGCAAGGCACTAACTGCATGTCAGCATAAAGAGTCCCAGGGCTCTGCTACGCTGTCTGGAGACATTCTACCAAAGCAGAGATGAGTATCCTTACACCAATCCAAAAAAAACAAAACAAAACTAGGACCCCCCCAAAAAACTGCATTCCCAGTGGAAAGGGGAATGCTGCTGGGAAACCAAACCCAGAAGCAGGGGTAGAGGTGACTCCACAAAGTTTCCCGGGAGCTTTGGAAGATAAATATCACTTGATCTAGTAAATCTTACCTTAATCCACTCCTGAGAGACATTTGGGACACTCAAATTGCACATGCATGCCTAGAAGAAAAGTGAAATCTAGGTCAAAATGCTCATTGAACATTCGCAGCACTAAGGAGTGCAGGTAAAGGCTCCTCCTCGTCTTTTCTGCATTAAATGTTACTGATACAATATTTTTTTAAAAGATGCACTTTCCCTTTATTATATTTACAATGATAACAAAACCAAAGCAGCATTAGGACAGGGACACCCCAGAAATTCTACAGGTTTGAAAAAAAAAAGCCCTCTCTAACTGCCTGGTCTGTCCTTTGAGGCACTACTGAGTTCCAAACCAATGGAAGTTTAGGGTGCTCTGCACCTCCCAGGAGTTACTCAGCATCTTTCAGAATTAATCCCCAAATTTGCTCTTAGGCTTCACGGTAGCGCGGGTTGGTAGGGTGGATCACGCAACACGTACTCCCCTGCAGAATCCTTATTCACCCAAGTGAGGTCCTGCACAGAGGACGAATTGCACAGTTCTGTGAGCTGCCTATATGGCCTGCTATGGGAAACCATTACAATGGGACAGAAACCAAAGGTTTGATACTGTTCTATCTGAATGTTCAATTTATTACATACAGGACATTATTATTTACAGCAAAAGAGGGGGCAAAGAGGTACATTGTTGCTGACAGTGCTTTTCAAGATGTATTCTCTGCATACCCACAAACTACAATATGAACTTGTACTGTAGATGTCATTGTAATACGCCTTTTTATTAATAAAGGACTCAAATCGGTATGGATTTGCCTTTTCTTCCTCCAGACCTGACTATTTGGGAAAGGAACTCAGGAGTGCCTGCACTAAAATGAAATAGCAGCCTATGCATAAATGGGGCAGAAAAGCTCTTAAAGAGGAAGCTAAGGATCAAATACTTTTAAAGACAGCACAGTGCGCTGTTAGCTAGCTATCTGGGGACATATCCTGTGAGGGGTGCCCAGCATCTGTCATCTTGATCCTGGGCCGGGATTGAAAGTGGGACCCCCAGAGATGAAGCACGGATCTCTACAACTTGGACTAAAGGACCAACTCCTTTACCTGGCACCTGCAATGGATTTAGAACACCTGCAGACCAGGAAGAGAGCAAGACAAGTAACAGTGGGTTCCACTGCACCTTTAACTCCTGCAGGAGGTGTTCGGCGCATCCTAGGATGGATCCCGTTTCCTTTAAAAACGGAAGCATGCTTTAACCATGCTCGGGGACCATCATAATGGCGGTGTAATGTAAATAGAAACGCTGATCCTGTCTGTGCTACAGATATTTTACTGATATTGTAGCCAGTTTGTAACATGGTTGACCTCACATGCGGGTCACATGAAAGCACAACGGACTAATCTGGGATTCCTAGTTGTGTGGGTGTACAATATTTCAACCCCAGTCATAAGCAGAGTGGTAGTCAGGACTTGTCTCTCCAGGAAAGTTCATTTGGATTAACTTTCATTTTTTCGGGATGAACTGCCTTGCATGCACACACAAAAGCTCTTTTTGCAAATTATCTGGCATCTCATTGTGCATCGATCAATCTACTTTGGAAGTGGGTTAACTCTCTTTCAGAAAGAGTTATCCCAGAGTAAGGTTTGTGTGGATGCATCCTCATTTCAAATAAGCTATTCTGCTTCTGGTACTCCTTCCACTGCTATCCCACATTGCATTGTGCACACTTGGATCAGCCTGTTTACTTGTGAGCCCTCTACTGCTCCGGGGCCATCTTGACCAGAATGTCACCTCCCCATGTGCAACCAGATGCCCGCCTTTGCCATTCCAGCTCGTGGTGAGTTCACACAGCCAGAATCACATGCCCATGTCCTGTGCTTCTGATAACCAACCAGGGTTCCTGTCCTGCAAACAGGACCACACCTAACTGTTAGCTAGTCCTCCAACCTCCCAGGACTCTGTGTCACACCACTGTCCATAGTTCACGATGCCATGTGAAAAGCACCCATAGCACCCTACCACTGCCACCAGTAGTGGAAGGCAGTTTGGCACAGCATCCCAGACTTCCCCAGAGTGCACCGGTATGAAAACATTGTGCATCGGGGTAGGTATGGATGGGCAGATATGATTGTGCTGGAAGAGATATTTCTATGTAGATGGGCTTAATCATATTAGGTGCCACTGTGACAGGTGAATGTGTCACAACCTGACTCTACTTAACAGGGTCTTACCTGTAGTGTAGGCAAGGATCTCGGGTGATCACCCATCACAGTCAGGGTTTAGCATGTGGGCCGTGGTGTGAAGCTAAAGGCATTTTCCACCAGGTTTTTAGAACAACTTATATAATCATATTAAACCTTCAAAAATACATGTCCCACTGCTCCTGCTCTGTTTCTGACTTTCCTACACGCTCCCCTGAGCTGTCATCCATTTGGTTCCTAGTCACTCAATTTTTTTTTTTTTAATAAAAAAGAGTCCACCCCTGGCATCTCATCAAAACCAAACCATGTGCCCCTCTCGTTCCCTCCACCACCCTAATTACAGTAGCTGTGTGTCAGAACCTACTCAACGCAGGCACACCCCCTCATTGCTGGGCATGGCATAGCAGCCCTTTGGCACCCCTCTGCCAATAGCTGCTCCAGCCCTGCCGTAGTCTGCCTCTGCTTGTGACTCTACCCTCCAGCCAGGTCACTTTAATCCTACCCCTTCCGGAGTAAACCAAGTCCACCACATCAACAGCCAGGCAGCATCACACCAGAACTTCCACCCAAGGTTAGGCTTTGGGGGCCTTCAAGTCCTTAGCTCTGGGGTCTTCAAACTGCCACCCTAGGTGAGCTGGTAGAGGACCCCAGGCCCACCCCTCTACTCTGGGTTCCAGCCCCGGGACCCTGGATGAAGCAGATACAGTGTGTTTGTGTTGTATCCCTGGGCTACTTCCTACCGTGGCCCACAGCTTGGCCTTTCTCGCAGTCTCTTCCCAGGCTGACTTTTCTACAGAGCCCCAAAAAAGGAGACCCATACTACTTGTCGGGAACAAAAGGTCCCACACCAGGCCCACCAGGCCCAAGGAGAGACTCTACCCAAGCCTCCCTTCACAGCCCTACTGAGGGCTTTTCTCCCTTCAGTTGCTCCCTCAAGGCTTGACACCTTGCACAGGTGTAACAGGTGGGACTAACTGAGCCCACCAGACCTCATTAACCTCTTTCTGGTCAGTGTGGGGTCTGTATAGCCCATCATAAGCTGGTCGAGGGAGCAGTACCCCATCATAGCTGCGCTGAGCTCCCGGGGAAGACCTTCCAGTTCTAATACTGATTTCTTGTGAGAGGGGCATCAGGATTGCACCCCAAGGCACAGATGGTGACCACATCTGGGGTGTGCCAGCCTCCTTGTCTAATATGACAATTGCAGGGCTTTGAGACTTGAGTGTTGTTCCTGCAGCAGGATGCCTGGATTGGGATGTCTTTGGTGCACACATGCTGCATGTTTTTGGATGGTAGTGATTTGGATGAAGTAGGAAATGCAGGATTGTCACGCTACCCATCACCGTCCAGCAAATTGCCCAACATACTATGTCTAATGTATATTATTATTACTGCATTTATTATCTGTGTTATCATAGTGCCTAGGAGCCCTAATCATCCTGATTACTGTTATTTGTATTACCTTAGAAACTAGCAGCCCCAGTCATGAATCAGGGTCTCATTGTCCTAGGTGCTGTACAAACACAGAAGAAAAAAGACAGTCCCTGCCCCAAAGATCTTACAATCCAAGTATAATCCACCAATGGGGTCCACTGAAAAAAATCCTTCCCTTCTCTTGTCCACAACTCACTTCAGGTCACATACATTAGTCTCTTCATAAAGATCTACACTTAGAATTGCACTGGTTTAACTACAGGTGTAACATTGCATTGATTTAGTTAAACCAATGCAAGTTTGTGTGTGGCCACTGACATTGGTTTAAACCTGGTTTACACTAATATAGTTTACACCTTGGGAACATCACACCTTTAGTACAACCAGGACAATTTCTGTGTGTAGACAAGCCTAAAACTGGGGAATACCCTTTTGTGGGGTAGAATTTGCTGGAAACGACTACTTTCAGGCCAGATTCTGATACCCTTCATGTTGAAGAGTACCTTACTTCCTGAGTGGTCCCACTGAAGGAAATGGGGCTACTCAGGAAGTCACGGTACTACTAAATCAGAGAAAAGAGACCAGAATCTAGCCCTTTAGTAGCAAACTCTCAGAAAAACAGAGGGGTTGCTATTAAATATAATACAGATATTAGTTATTGGTAATAAGCATCTCCCAAGCCACAAACTGAAATAAAATCTTTGCAATTCAACCCAGCTCCTCTAAAAAAGCCTGAACACAAAGACGACCTTGCAGCATATGGCATGAAGGTCAGCAAACTCAGGCTGTTTCAGACCAAGGGAGCAGGCAAATTCCAGAGTCAAATGACCTTTACTGAGAATAACCTGTCCCCAGTCATTCTAACCTATACACTACTGTCTCACAAACCATGTATATATAGCTTTGCATACAGTAATACATACACTGCATAATGTCGTATATTATTACATATACCATGGGATCGATCAGTGATTCTCAACCAGGGGTACGTGTACTCTGGGGGTACACAGAGGCCTTCCAAGGGTACATCAACTCATCTAGGTATTTGCCTAGTTTTACAACAGGCTACAGAAAAAGCACTAGCAAAGTCAGTACAAACTAAAATTTCATACAGACAATGACTTGTTTATAGTGCTTTATATACTATACCTTGAAATGTAAGTACAATAATGATATGGTAAAAATGAGAAAGTCAGCCATTTTTCAGTAATAGTGTGCTGTGACACGTGTATTTTTATGTCTGATTTTTGTTAGCATTTTTGTTAGATTTTAGGTCAGGTGAAACTTGGGGTATACAAGATAAATCAGAAAGGGGTACAGTCGTCTGGAAAGGTTGAGAATCACTCGGATAGATAATTTTTGCTATTGGCTTTAATGGGTGCAAGACTGGGTTCTATATATTCTATATACTTAGACCAAAGTGTTCGAACTTGGGTGCCAAAAGTTAGATGCCTAACTCCATATTTAGGCATCTTGGCCTGATTTCCAGAAGTCAGAAGGTGCTCAGCGCGTTTAGAAAGCAGGCCCCGTGGTTTAGCTGCCTAAATAAAGATTTGGGTGCCTCACGTTTGAAAATGTTGGCCGATGTAATTGGGGATTCGTTTCGGATGTCCAGCCCCAGGTTAATCCCTTCAGACAACAGACCGTCTCTTGAGATTATAGCCAGAGTTGAACCAGGGCTCCACTTAAATTGGCCCAAACTTTCCATTATAATCACCTATGTACCCTGGCGTTTATGAGGCTGACAAGGATTTACCTTTCCGTCTGAAATATTCCATGCCTGCTCTCTCAAGACAGATGATTAGTCTGTGTGGAGAGGCACAGATAGATAGGTAGAGTGTAGGGACGGCCAGACAGACAGACAGACTGACTTTGGCCCAGTCTATAAGCCGCCCACACCCACAGGTTTTTCTGGGCAGGCGCCTGTCCCTTTAAGGCGTTTGGGAAGGCGGGGAGGTGTGTCCCTGCCGCCGAGCCGTAGGCCGCGGCGTGTCAGAGGTCGGGGTGGCGGAGGGGAGTGCGCACCACGTGGGGCTGTGACTGGCTCTGTCCTTCCAGCGGCAGCGGCAGGGCACGGAGTCCGGGCAGGCAGCGGCGCGACGGGGGCCGGCCATGGTCATTAAAGCGGACGAGATGCCGCCCGCGGCGGCGCCAGCCACGGCCCAGAGC